GTGACATCAAGCCCGCCGAGATTGCCATCAGCCATTGGTTTGACATTGCCTACGATATGGACTCCTACAACCACGACTCAGTTCCCGAGTGGCTCGCTGGATTCGCCGCCCGTAACTTCGGTGAAGAGCATGCTGAGGAGATCGCCGAAATCATGGACGAGTACGGTTTCCTCGCCAACATGCGCAAGTTCGAATGGGTCGAGCCCTCTTCATTTAGCGTTCTCAACTACGAGGAGGCTGACCGCATTCTCGCTCACTGGGAGTCACTCGCCGAACGCGCCAACAAGGTCAACGCCGCGCTTTCTCCTGAACAACAGCCCGCATTCTACGAGATCATTCTGCACCGTGTCCTTGCTGGAGGCAACCACGTCGATGTACAGGTTTCGGGTGCGAGGAACATCATCTACGCGCAGATGGGCCGCAACAGCGCCAACAGGTGGATGCAGCGTGTCATTGACGGCATGAACAAGGACCACAACCTCACCCGCCTCTACCACACTCAGCTCAACGGCAAGTGGGACCACATGATGGACCAGACCCATCTGGGATACCAAGGATACTGGTAAGTTCTAAACGATCTAGCGATGGCAGTCATGATGCTAACCCAATCACAGGCAACAACCTATGCGCCAGTCCACCCCCGATCTCCGCTGGGTACAGACTCAAGAGCGCTCCCTAGCAGGTGACATGGGTATCTCAGTCGAGGGCTCAAACGCCACCATTCCCGGTGACGATATGTGGCACAGCAACGGAGGCGGTTCGCTGACCCTCCCGGCCATGACGCCCTTCACCCCCAAGCGCTGGATCGAGATCTCACACCGCGGCACCGGCGCCTTCAACTGGAACATCAGCGCCGACCCCTTTGTCACTCTCTCCGAAGCCAAGGGAACCATGCAGCCCAACGACGAAGACATCCGCATCTACGTCGACGTAGACTGGACTAAGGTCGAAGACGGCTTCGGCGCCCAAAGCAAGCTCAACTTCTCCAGCTCCACCGACTTCGGCACGCAGGGCGGAAATCCACAAGTCATGTTCATGGTAAACAAGACGTCCATCCCCTCCGACTTCAACGCCGGCTTCGTCGAATCCGCGGGCCAACTCGCTTTCGAAGCAGAGCACTACACGCGCTCCACCCCTGGTTCCTCCGACAACGAATACATGGTCCTCCCCAAGTACGGCCGTACCATGTCTGGCGTCAAGCTCGCCAACAACCTAGCCGAAGGTCTTGACTCCTCCAGCGCACCAAGTCTGGAATACGACTTCGTCACCTTCACACCCACCACCAAGGCCAAGGGCCTCAACCTCACCCTCATCCTCACACCCACCCACAACATCAACCCCAAGGTGCCCCTCGCGTACATCGCTCAGATCGACAACAAGACCGAAGCCCGCCGCCAGTTTGTCATCGACCAGCCACAACCCAACTTCCCAGTCGGATGGGGTGTTGCGGTCGCTGACAGCGCGTGGAAGAACACGACTAACCACGGTGAACTTGCACCTGGTAAGCATACTCTCAAGCTGTGGCTTGTAGAGGCGAATGTTATTTTGCAGAAGGTTGTCTTGGATCTGGGTGGTGTTGTTTACAGTCATAATGGGCCGCCGGAGAGTTATCGCGTTGGCGGGAATGCGACTATGCACTAGATGGATTGGTGCTAGAGGGGTTGGAAAGGATAGTATGTGAATGGTGAATTCAGTAATGTAATGTGTTCATTCGCAATGAGTTGTCTAAACGTGTGTGCGTGTGTGTGTTTGTACATGGGTGAGATTGTACGAAACATGATGACAACGGACCGATGCGGTGAGATTGGCTGAGTTGTCGCAATGACATGGCGGACCGATTCTTGTGCGAATGGGGAAACGCAGCTCGAAGAAGACACAGTATACCTGATATATTGATAGAGAAGTGAATATCCTCATGCCCATGCATCGCTATGCTACACCCGAAGAAAAACAATCCTGAACGCCAACACAATATGCCGCCACCTATCTTGTATCCAAATTCTCAATCTGCCCTCTACCTCACAAAACTCCTGTATATATTCTTCCCCTTTCTTAAGCAACACCACCAGCGCCTCCCCCCGCACCCCCAGCACTCCCTCCCACATCACTTGTAGCACCCCCTTTCCCCGCTTTCCTCCGCATGCTCTTGCTACGGTGTGAATAGTAATTGCTCGGTTCTTTCATCTGCTCCTTGTCGAGGCGCTCTTGGCTGGGTTGCAGTTTGCCGTCTGTGGCGCGTTCTTTGACTTTGCTGACTTTGGAGCCCATTGTAGAGGGTGTGTTGGGGGCGTTGGGGTTGGTGGAGGGTTGAGGTGGAGGGACGGGTAGGTAGGGGAGGAAGGGGTGGGTTGGTGTGGATGGTGAGGTGGTGGTGGGTGTGGTTTGCGCGTTTGGTGGTGAGGTGGTAGAGGGAGAATCGCTGTCTTGGTTCGATAGGATGATTACACTGGTATCTCGTCAGCTCAATTCCAGCAACAAGTCGCAAGTGCGCATTCGCGCAAGGCCGTCTCCTCAGTCTACTTACGGTGGCGCAGGATGAGGTTCCGGTTCCGGTTTACTTGGAGGTCTCGATGTCGCGTCGGTGGGTTGAGATTCTTGTCGTGAATGTGCAGGTCTAGAAATAAGGAGAGAAAGTTAGGAATTGGACCGACAAAAGATACGAGATGGTTGCACAAACTACCTAGGTAAGATTGGGCATACGTACGACAGGGATGACGTAGGTGGGTGCGGCTGGAATGGCGGATCGGCAGGGTCTGGTACCTGGAAGTGGGGCGCAGGTGCTTTACCGGATTGGGCGAGGATGATGATTCTGGGTTGGAAATGGTTAATGGGGGTGATGTTGGTTTGGTGGTAGTCGTTTGAAGATGGTTGAGTTTGAGATGGAAGGGGTGAAGACTTACGGTGGTGCAGCTGGCGGTTCTGGGTCGTTTCCACCATCCTTCATCTCTCCAGATGTTGAGTATGGCCCTCGGTGTGACATTTGACTTGAGTAATGAGACTGTTGAAGGAAGTGCCAGGCAACTCTGTATACTTCGAGTAAAAGCTTGTGTGCCTCTAGGACAGAGACTGCGTGTATAACGGCGATGGAAGACTGCTCGATGTTGCTGATAGTACGAGATTGGACCTGAAGGGAAGTCATAGCAAGAGCCGGCGAGAAGGAGATATCCATGATGTTCATTGAGTTGATGGCCCTAACCGTGCCCCATCCCGACTCTTATATATGATATGAGGCCTCTCATCTCAGCACGAGCATGAGCGCATTTCCAACGATCTCCCACCGACTCACAGCCGGAGTCATGGCTGTCGCAGCACTCTACTCTTTCGATTTCGCCCCATCATCCATCTAGCTCTTATCTAACGAGTAGGAATGGTCGTTTCCATGTTAAAGAACGCGCTAGAGCAACGTTGAAAGCTCGGCCAGAACGTGTAGGGTCGGATATAGGGCTAAGTTTGGTAGCCGTGACCCGCTTGACAGCCTGTATAGGAAGTATCATTGGATCGACCCGGTTTTAGTCAGAGGGAAGCCTGAGAGGAGGCTCAAGTTAAGCTTTCTGCCATGTGTCTCAGAGGTGACCCGTTTCGGTGTCTAAGTGCGAGGCAGTTCGGTCAACCGAGTCGGCGACTCGGAAGACTGAATTAGGTGCATCAGGCGAGCCATTGCCTTTAGTCGGGTATAGATGCATTCTTCACCTTCAACCAAGCGGATCGCGTCGCGGGCGATGCTGTAGTGATGTGGCTGTGCGTGGGATATGGGCATCGTGTAATTTAGCTAGGGCGGTTAGAACTTCCGTTCGTGGGAGGCCTGGTAGGCCGAGCAGGAGGCTTACTCTGGATCGCCACCATGGCGGTGTTGTGCATGATAAGGCCCTCAATCATCTGTGATATCGAGGGAGAGAGAAAGAGGAAATTGCGACATTAGTGACGGGATTGGGGACGTGGAGATGTTTGGCCGTTCGCGCATGGCGCATGGTGCCCCGCTTCAGCCCTGGAGGTCCACAACGCTGGGCTGGTTCCTGGCCGTGGCCGCCACGGCCGCCCACCCAATTCCCGCCGCTACTCTGCAAACCCACCAACAACTGCATCATCATCCTCATTCTCAGCACACTCGTGACTCTAGCTCTCTCATCATCTCTCCTGACTAATCGACCTTTTGCCGCGACGTTCAATGCCGCGCCCTTCCTATTGCTCACACGTCTCTGCCACGGCGGGTTCCGACATCCATCTCTCTGGGAACACCAACGCCCAGATCGACCACAGTGCCAGGGATCATGGGCTTATCTCAGCCATAAATAGAGAGCTTCGCGAAACTCCAGGATTGGTCTCAGGACCAGACTTGTGACTCGTATCACAATCATGTCTGCCTCGCCCTAAGGTGAACGGTCGTTGGGGGCCAATGGCAGTGCACGCGGAGCCGAGTTCCAGGACCACCACCAAGCCTCGAGCAGCCTCGTCTGTGTTACTGCTTATATAATGCACGGCGAACCGACTGTGACGTCTTGACTGGTTAGGAACCCAGCAGATAAATTATTCCCAAAGATTCCAGACCATTGACATGAGGGCCGATCGATCCCTGCTCCGACCGGTCAACAGATTAGCACACAGTTTCTACCGCGCATGCATTTGCTGTCACGGGAGCGTCACGCCCTTCGCGCTTATATATCAGCTCTGACAACTTGAGCACAATATGTAAGTATGGCGGGAGTAGAAAAACCTCCGTACGAGCAAGCGCAACAGCATGCGATAACATTACCAATACCAAGGCCAATATGACTCCAAACTCCAGGGAAGGTCGAAATTCCAAACACTAGTCCATTCTCAGTAGCCCATCAGGCCAAGAAGCTGACAGAAGCACTATCAAGGCGATGTAGACGCGCTACGTCCGATGGTCCAGTCTTGTTTCTCGAAACCATCCCGAGAGAAACGCCCTCACATCTCAACGCCCAAAGTTAATTGGCCCTTTACTTCTCAATCACAACACCTATCCCCCGCAAACCAGTACCCTACGCACAAAGCGGAACCCCAGCATTACAAGTGCACCCCGCCGGACAACTAAACCCGGGCACAGTAGTTTCCGGCTGCGGCGGCTTCGGCTGCGAGGGCGGCTCAGGACCCGACCCATCAGGCCTATAATTCTTCTTGAGCGCCTCGACAATCAGATCACCCATCTCCTTATGCCCGTCCTGCGTGGGATGCAACGTCCTCGCGATACGACCATCCTTACTCCCACTGCCTCCATCCAGAGGCTGTGGCTCAACCTTCCATTCCATCCATAGACTCGGGTTCGCGGGGTCGCGGAAGGTGAGTACGGTGTATTGTTCCTGCTGCACGGCTTCGCCTTCTGGGTAGCCACGTAGTTTCTCCACGATATCCTCGGGTGGGCCGGGGACGCCGGGGTCGTCGCTGGACTCGTATGTGGTGACGCTGTCGCCGTCGTGGATGGTAACGGCGAAGCGGGCGGGGTTGTTCCAGATGTGCACTTTGGACCCGTAGTTGAACTGCGACCACCAGCTGTGGTCTTTTTCGCAGAAGCGGTGGCCTTCGAGAGCGGGGTTGATGTCGATGTATTGGATTTTGGGGTCGTTGTATTGTTCGACGGAGGAGCGGATCGCAAGGTTCACGGCGTCGACCTGAGGAGGCGATGTTAGCAGGCTTTTGAAGATGGGAGGGTAACTTACTAGATCATTGAATTCCTGTCGCATCTCTTTTTTGATAGTTTGTGTCTGGCTGGAGTTCTGATACTGGACGCCAAAATCCCAGTCATTGCACGCGTCGTCAAGAGCAAAGAAACGTGCATATCCCAACATGAACAGAGTCGCGTCGTTGCCGCCGACAGCAGGGTGGTACCTCCAGGTCTCGATGGTATCTAAGACGGCCTGCTTAAGACCGCCTCCAACTCTGTTCCTTACTTCCTTGATCTCTAACCTGCACTTTCCTGTCGGATTCTCGGCATCATCGTCTTCGTATTTCGTTCCATAATCTTTGTTCCTGTCGGAATGAAAGAGGCAGAAGTCGGCCATATCGTAGAATTGAGCGTTGTTCCCGCCGGCTTCGAGTAGTGTCATCTTGGGTCGTGTCAACTTGTCCATCTGGTCGTGAATGTTTTGTCCCAGATGGGCGCCGGAACAGGCTCTGAACTCGAACAGGGAACCTTGGTCTGGGCTTGGCGTCCAGTCTTTGTATCTGTCGTTGACTATGGTTGACCAGGCGTACTTGTAGCGCATGCATCCATCTTCGTTTCCGTCATATGCGGTGTCGTCGCTCCATTGAACTCCGCTCTGTCTTGTCTTAGTCAATGCGTGGCTTTGGGGTAGAATTACGTACTCCCCATGAGTCGCCGATGGCGGAAAAGATGAACTCATTGTCTCTGGTGATCAATGTGGGGTTGAGGACCGCGCCCTGGGGGTAACCCAACACCGTCTGTGCCAGTAGTACTGACCCAAGGGTGAGATAATTCTGATACGTAAACATGTTGACGAGGAACCTGGGTAGAAGAGGAGATGAGGGAGGAGCTGGTTCGGTGTCTTCATTATCCTCTCTCTACGATCTTCTTATACCTTTTCACCTTGAGCATGTCTTCAAGGGTCTACTGTCAGCAGTGAGCATATACGAGACCGTCTGAGCAGACTTTCGATCTCAAACCCATCTTCACGAAGCGGCACGGAGCTGACATCAGGGACTCTCAGGGCGTACTTTTTGGGGTCTAAAGACATCGCTCACGAATGTTTCAATGCTCGGCTAGGATATTTCGATCATTATACAAGTCGTGATGGCCCTAACCCCTACGCACTGTCAAACAAACCAACTCCCAGGGAGGACGAGCCGCTGATCCGATTCGCCATCATGCCAGAAGCCAAGATGCATGTCCGTCCGAACGTCACCGTCAACAGCCTGCGCGCAGTTACGCTGCATGGGGCCAAAAACGCCCGGCGCTTCGGTTGAACCATCTCGAAACCTGGGGTGTCGACAAAGCCTCGCTTTGTAGTCAGAAACGTAAGCAGCAAGGCGGAGAAGCGACAGGGCGGTTGTAGTGTTGATTAGAAATACCTCAGTCATGAGGCAGACAGTCGATCTTGCGTGAGGCTGTGGAGACGCACCAGGATATCTACTGAGTAGGCCTGACCCCGATGCGAAACCTTCATGTCAGTCTTGGCGATGAGATTGAACGCCCAGAGCTCAGCGAGATTTATGGCGCGTTGTTGTTTGGTCTTGCGAAACGTGTATAGCAGTCCGTTCGAATCACCCATCCCCGTTGATCGACCGCAACAACACACGATTGATGTATCGATAGAAGGTCATGCGCACTCGCAATCGTAACAATATAACGACCAAATACACTACTCAATCATCCGTATCCCAAATACCCAGTGTGATATCCATCATCCCCTTAATATGAACCGCTTCCATGCGACTTCCCGCGCCTCTCCCTCTGACAGCCTTAACGAACCCATCACCTTCCTCTACCTCATCTAGCGCACTTCCCCCAAACTTGATCGAGCCTTTGTCGCCAGTCGCATCCATCATTCCAAACCAACTGAACGGGTACCGCAGGTACAAATCACCAGAGCTGACCCAGTGCGAACTCTTCGTGCTGAGAAGAGGATCGTAGAGCTCGTCCAAGAGCTCTCGATTGGCATTGTCCAGATGGAATATTGTGTTGCCATGCAGTGTCGTCGTGGAAATCGTGCTTTCATCATTCGGACTCACGGCAGCGAATGGTCGTAGATACGCGTTTACGTTACCGCTGATACTCACGATACTGGTGAACGAGCCATGCGGTATCTCCGCGACTATATTGCCGTAAGCCGAGTGGATGTTCGTGTAGTGTGTAAATGGCTGCTGTGGCCAGTATTCCCAGAGCGCAGCGACGTTGATCGCTCCGCTGACTGTATATACCGAGATATGTTTTGGCCGCATCGGTTTTCCGATGAACGTATACCGCGGTACCAGCATTAGATCGATCTGCCCGCTTTTGCTGTGTATTTTTAATCTACCTTCGCAGCCGTACCATCCCCATATGACTCCCGTTGTTGAGCTGGAATCGATGTTGTGTGGATGCAACGGGTCCGGGCCTTTGCCGCCTTCGTATGTGTACTCGCCGTGCGAAGTATGTGTGATGAGGTTGTTGATCTGCCAGGCCCAGTCGTGAACCCATAGATCGAATGTCTCGGACCTGATCTCGAGCACATCCAATAGACGCACAGGTGATTCTGGACGGAAGTATATCATCACTTTGATCTCTGTACAAACGTCTCCGTCATGGTCGGAGGGAAGGTAGTCTAAACTGAGGCTCGTTGCAGATTGGTTGTAGATGACGTTCTGGTAGTCTGTCGTTGAGCTGGAGTTTATTTCGAGTCTGACTTCAATGTCGGAGGTCTGGTCGACGTCGCCTCTCTGGACGTGAATTATACCAGAGAGACGACCGGTGGAATTGAATGAGTCGGATAGACGCCAATGGGTTTCAGCTCCGTCGCTGTCGGATATGTTGAAGCCGAATGTGCGCGCTTCAGAAGAAACAATCGATTCACATCTGGCGTAGTTGATGGTGGCCGGTGTGGTGTCGTATAAAGATCGGTCAGAAGTCGTCGTATGGCCGGGAGGGCACGCATTCCAATACAGCAATACTATCGCGAATACGAGCAGCCCTAGTTGCGGTACTCTCCACAGTGGACGCTGTCGAACCAAGGGACCTGGTTCCTCTTCGGAAGCCTATATGCTCATTAGAATTGATAAAGCGAACATCTGCGGCAACAATACTAACCACCCGTACTTCACGCCCGCTCGAACCCGTCTTCATTGCCATCTCTTCCATGATTGCGTGCTGTTGTGAATTGTTTAGAGAGAAGCAGTAAAGGAAGAGATGGGATCAAAGTAAAAGACCCGCAGACGGCAGGCACAACCAGGAAGGCAGCAGCCGCGATGCCATGCTGACTGTGAAGACGCCCGGTGCCGCGCCGCACTCGGTTTCAGATGTCTGCGACGCGCCACAACGCAGACCCCGGCACGAGGCGGACTGCACTGCACGCCTCTGATCAGCACTCTGAATAGCTCGTCGTTATATTTGAAGGAGAATTCTCAGCCCGAGATGCGCATGGTGATCATGTACGAGCGGCATCCTTCGCGCTTGCCTTCCGCCCCGACGTGCTAGCATTAGCAAGGCGAGCAAATGACGTCACAACAGCACGATGTACAACCTGGTCATCACGGTCAAATTCGAATAGAAGTTCATGAATGCTTCATCTTGAAGACTTTTTCCTTAGTGAGGCTCTACCTAGTCGTGCTATTCGGTCAGAAAACTGCCAGCACTCGGCTGCCCACAGGCTTGCTCAAAAACACAGATGCCAACTCCGACGCCGACGCCAGAGAAGTATGCACCAAAGCTCATGAGAGTTCGTCAATCGTTTCCTCGCTCACGTTGTTGAGCTTTTCACCACTCAGGACGAGGTCGTGGCAACATGAGGTAGCCTTGACCATCGTGAGTGAGTGGGCAAGGGACAAGAGGGCAATTGCCGTTCTTGTACTTCAATGAGCACATGAAGCGCAGGCACTCGGTGTTGTTCTCCATGCAGGGGCGACACTTGGTACCGCTGTCGCATCGCCGGTCCATGGCGTAACACTCCGTGCATGATACGACGGTCTCAGGGAGCTTGACATTGCGCGGCGGAACGACATGGATGGCACCACGGAGACGCTCGCCGTTGTTGCTGAGGTCCATGATGCGGGCCTCCTTGAACTTGAGTTCGTCCTTGGCGTCCTTGAGCTGGGCTCGCTGGCGATCGCAAAGAGTGGTCATCTCACGAAGCTTGCCCTTGATGTCCTCGATGGCGCCGCGGTTTCCACGTTGCTCTTGGGCGTCGGTCAGCTCAAACTTTCGGACGACAAGCTCTTGGCGCAGATCAGCTATGGTCTGCTCGCGTGCAGTCGCAGCGTCAGCAAAGGCCTGATTTTGTGAGCGGTGATGGTCGATGATCCGCTGATGGTCGACTGCCTCCTGCTGCTCCTTGGTGAGGAGGGCCTTTTGCTCCTTGGCGATCTGCTTGAGCGCTGCCAACTCGGCATTCCTAGCGGCCAACTTGGTGTTCATAGTGGCTAACTCGGCATCCTTAGCAGCCATCCTGGCGCCATGCACACCGACCTTATCATCTAGCATGAGTTAGCTTAGGCCCTTTTGGTACAGTATGATGTTCGAACTTACTTCCGGGATTTGCCTTGTTGATCAACGCATTGCGGGCACCTAGCTGTTGACGTTGCTTTTTGATCTCAGCAACATGTCTCGCGATCACAAGCTCTTTCCTTACCGACTGAGTGTTCTGGGCCTTGATCTCAGCGTCCTGGATCTTTAGCTTGGCGTTCAAGTCCTTGAGCTCAGCAACCCTGGCCTTGAGCTCAGCGTCCTTGCTCTTCATCTTAACGTCGAGGTCTTGAACTTCAGTCGCCTTCCTCTTCATCTCAAGTTCGTTCTTCTTGATCATGACGTCCTTCTCAGACATAGCACGAGACATCGCGGCATTTTGGTTCTCGGTGGACTCGATCTGGAATCCGACAAGTCCTAGCTTCTTAGCGGCCTCTGTGTTCTCGCGCTTGAGCCTGGCCAAGTTTTCCTCGGCGGCTGCCAACTGGTCCTCTAGCACGGTCCGCTGCTCCTGCTCAGTCATCCGTACCATCGTTGGTTGGTCGAATTCGAAATCATGAATGGCATGCACGACGGAGTCTGCTGGAGTCGGGGGTGTATCAGATGCAGCAGGCACGGATGACTCGATGTGAGGGACGTGGACGGGTGGCGACCAGGAGCTGCGACCAGAACGATGATCAGACTCGCTGTCGGCGGTCTTGTCGTAGTCATTGATAGTATCAATCATGCTCCTGAACTCCATCCTGTTTTCAGGGATGTACTCGGGGATCGGCTGATCAGACCTAAGGGCGGAGGTCAAGGGCTCTTGCTGCTCTTGCAGGAAAGACGCCACAGACTCTGGGGCCCTGTATGGTTGAGCCAGCGGGGAGAACATCTCCGAACTTGAAGCAAGACGTGTAGCAAAGCGAGGGACTAGATGTGGTCAGTCAGTCATTTAGTAATGTAAACATGGATCTGGTCACTCACCACTGGCTACGGTCGGCAGCGACACCGGGCGCGGAGCTGGCGAAGGGACTGGTGTAGAAGACTGCCTCTGCCTCATGAGGACATCGAGGCCTGCGAAGTGGTTGCGTGGAGGCGACCTTGCGCGGTTCTCCGAGAGTGACATGCGGCCGACGAGACCGTTGGTACGGTGAATGCCGTTGATGCCAGTGGTGTTCTGAGAGGAGGTGCCCTCGTCACTGAGGTCGATGAGGTTGCCCGACATGTTGCCAGTGGTCGGTGGTGGTGATTGGGAATGGGAAAGGATGGGAAAAGACAGAAGAGCTGTCCGTTGTTGTGGAGGATTTTGTTTTGATTGTGGGGAGGTGAGGTGAGAGACAGCAGTCACAACAACGCCAAGCCAGAGACGAGCGCAACAGGCAGTCACCGTGACTTGCACAACAACAACACGCTGCCAGGTCCGTGCGCAAGATAGCAAACTGGGCTCGAAAAACGGGAACGACAGTAGAACATTCGAGGTGACTGAAGATGCCTACATGAAGTGACCAAAGATTCTAAGACAACTATCCAAATTGAAAAGCCTTTGATATCCACATCAATGTATGCAAACTTACCCTCAAGCCAGGCGCGGTTGCTATGCTACAGATGTCACAGGCGGATAGCGAAGCAAATAACTTTGTGCCAGGGCTTCGTGTATGTAACCAAGAAGAAGGCATGCGTGTCTGATATGCTCTTTCCGGTCTAGAACTGCGCAAGAGGCGATGACATCATCCTGATTCTGCATCGAAATGGTCGGCAAATGCCCACCGGACAACCACAAATAACAGTGCGTGAGGATACTTATCATTGATGTAGTTTCGAGGTGCACACGCAGTAAGAAAGCAACTCGTCGCCGGGGTGTACGCCTACTATGCACTTTGGCCATCTCTTGTCAAATCATTTCCCATATCGTTCTTGACCTCATCTCAATGCACGCGCAATGACAAAGAGAACAAGAAAACCGGGAGAGAAAGGCTTGCGATACTTGACATGAGCAATAGGAAGACTCAGAGCGCCATCAACTTCTTGCTGCATGATTCAGTCGCTACGCCGAAGTCTCAAAGCAGATTGCGCTCTGAGCGGTGAAAACGTCTTGATCATCGGCCGAAACGCTTAAGCTCCAAGACCCGCAGAGGCGGATAGACAACTGCAGCCCATGCGAAACCGACATAATTACCCATCTATTCACATTAGCTTTGCACATCTTGCCTCTACATGTGCACATACATCAGCTCCATAAGTCCCAACTTGCTTAGCGATCGGTCCAATGTACCAAACCTGAGCCATGCACATGATGGCACCAATCCAGCCGATCACAAACGACGTGAAGGCGGCGATGCCCAGCGGAAGCTTCTTCTTCTGGTTCCAGACTTGCCAGTTGAAGCCAGTCTTGCGTTGGAAGATCAAATCTTCTTCAAGCGTGATGGCGATCCAGACAGAGACCCAGTAGCCCATGAGTGCAAGGAAGTTGGTGAAGATCTCGGCGAGATGGGCACGCCCTGCTAGTGCGCAGACTGTGTAGATGACTACGCCAACAGTGTTCCAGATGACTCTCGGTACAACACTTGCATAGCGGCCTAGGATCTGGGCATCGATGCCGGAAGAGTAGGTAGGGACAATGAGGTTAGCGACGAGACCCAAGGCGACTACCACACCACAGAACGAGCCGAATGCGCCCAGCGGCTTGTATGCTTCGACTATCAAGGCGCCTTGTGATACCCCATATGCCGCTTCCCAGTCCGTGTTGGTTAGCATCCCGCATGCTAGGCCGATGCCCAGGACGAAGGCGAAAATGAAACTGCACATCAGACCGAGCATGGTCATGCCGAAGATTTTGAACGATGATGCGTGCTCTGGGTAGTAGACGAAATAGTCTGCTGCTCCACCGCCATACGTGATAGCCGCAGCGAGTGTCAAGCCGAAGAAGCTGATGCGATTCCCGATTATTGTATCTGGGTCTTCGTCGCCATGGGACTCGGAGGAGATGTTGAAATGCGGACCGGCGACGCCAGCTAGAATGCATAACACAATGAGTTGTGGTAGCCAAGCCCATCGCTCGTAGTAGTGGAAGATCTGGTAACCGAACGTTGTGATAGCCCAGGCGATGATGGCTACGATGATTATGCCTACTACCACGGACATGGAGTTGCCTGAGACAGCTGAGAGAATCTGCCCAGCGACTACGCAGTCGATCATGCCGTAGCCAAGTAGGACGATGATGTTGAGCAGGACGACGACCTTGGAAGGCCACCAGCCCGTGATGTATCGCGAGAAGATCATAGTCCGATTGCCGCTCTTCGGGCCAAAAGTCGCGATGTATGCGACAACGAGGCAGCCAACGAATGCGCCGAAGACGGCCAGCATGCAGGAATCGAGGAAGCCGAGGGCGAAGACGGCAGGACCGAGCATGCCCAGTGTGATGTTGTTCGCCGCGAGGTTGACGCTGAACCACATGATGGCCACCTGGGAGTATCCAAGCAAGCGCAAGTCCTGTCGCTCCTCCGGTTCGACGCGTTCAATGCCGCGAGCCTCGAGGTTGTATGCGACAAGCTGCTTCTCAAACGCCTTCCACATGTCCTGCCATCTGCTCTGGTGTCCCACTCCTTCATTCTCGGTATCGTGTGCGCTGACAGGTAGTCCGGGCTCGGTTCTCGCATTCGGGGCGAATATCGACTTCTTTTCATCGGGCGGGTTCGTGATGGGGTGCATGACGGCGACCTAGAGCCATTAGTAGCAGCCTCGTGGCGAGGGAGCAAAGCATGAGTCCTTTCGCAGGCTTTAACCTGATCAAGTTCAGACCGTATATCTCAGATCGCCGCCAGCAAAGATGCTGGTGAGCGAACACCGGTCTCATGCGTTCTGCTATCTGACGTTACCTTGATCGGGCATTCTGCTACTCGGCTGCATCCTGGCTGTGTTGCCGTACGTTTGAAGAGACAATGACGCGATAGTAGAGATGCGAAGCAAAGATCAGGAGAGCAATTGAGTGTCAATGGAAGCTGCGAGAAATGGCAGTGACGTTGGAAGCGAAAGGCGACGAGCGAAAGATGACATGACCAAAAACCCCGCTATCGTGCCGTCCCGAAAACCTTGCGCCTTTCCCGTGTCTTGGACTGCTCGCGTAATGGGACGCGTTCAGACTCTTCAACATCTTTCGGTTAAACTCAACTTGTCGCGCGCATAACCGTGGACGCGTCGAAATCACGCGATGGTTGTGGAGGTGTGGAAGCAGACGTCTGTGGTCATAGCTTCCCTGAGCTCACGCGCGGTGTCGCTGCGGGTCAGCCTCGCCCAGCTAGCATCGACGCTGCACTTCCAATGACAGCATCATCTCGCACCCAACACCAACCCCAAACAAAAAATAATGGCAGAAGTGCTACGGTGACGCCGACGAGCACTTGCCATCTATCGCGACGTCACCTCACGTATGCAGCAAGTACACGCGGCGCTCTTATCATTTTCGGCGCCAGCCAGTAACCCCCGGTCTACATCGGCCCTGTGCCATCTTCCACACCATGCTCCTTCCTCTAAGCTGCATATCCGTTCTGTCCGTCTTTGCACTTAGCAGTCGTTCTACTACTATCCTACTTTCAGGTTTTCATGAGGTTATGCCCATATTAGGCAGGTCTAAGATCTGCGTTGCGACACATGAACACCGGGTCACGAACCCATGAACCCATGCTTATCTGTGATAGGTAAGATGCGACTAACCGCTATTACTGTACCTCAATTACTACCGCCATCCCCGGCCATTGCCGTGGGACTAATGCGGGGGAAGGAACGTAGGCGGAACTAAAGTGGATGATACTTTAGATATCCATTCAAGCATGCATTCCTAGATCAAGCTTTAAGTATCTGCCGATGTGCATCAGATTGCAGTAAGCCTTACATTCTTCACGACTATCTCTCGAAGTACATTCATCATGAGGTTGGCGGGTACGTTGTTGTTGACTACTGGTCTTGTACCACTGACATCCGCTGCGCCGGCAACCTATGGACGGGCCAACAACAGCACATGTAGGAAGACTACTGTCGCCATCATGTAAGTTGTATCTTCAAGAACACAGATCAGAGTTGGCTAAAAATTTTGTAGCGGTGGCGGAGTTGCCGGCATTACAGCAGCTGTAAGTCCACATTGAGACTCTCTCCAAGATGAATGCAAGGCGAATTCATCTAATTCAATACACTTCGGACGCTCAACGATTATGTCTAGTCCAGCTACTAATGGATTGTAGCAAGCGCTTGCCAATCAATCAGTTACCGACTTCCTGATTCTCGAGTACCAAGATCACATCGGTGGTCGCTTGCGAAATACAAAGTTCGGTTCCGACACCAACGGCGATCCTTATACCGTCGAGCTAGGCGCAAACTGGATCTCTGGTCTAGGTGAAAACACAGTAGACGGTCCAGAAAACCCTGTCTGGACTTTCTCCAAACAAGTCAACCTCTCCAGCCCAAATTCCGACTCCTTCTCCGTCGCGACCTACAATGAGACGGGCGCTGTAGATTTTACAGACTTACTGGACGAGTTTGAAGAGTACTGGAGTGTCTTCGAGCAAAGTGCTGGAACGCTACTTTCAGAGAACTTGCAGGACAGGAGCTTCCGTGCGGGTCTTTGGCAAAGTGGGTGGAGACCAAAGGGCGATCCGGCGCGCAAGGCTGTTGAGTATTATCTCTGGGACTGGGAGACCGCTCAGGTAAGTTCATTGAAGCGATGAGTTGCGTGGTGTACTAACACATTCGCCCCAGACACCAGAAGAGTCAAGCTTCGTCTATGGCATTACGGGATATAATCTGACCTACTATGGCTTCTCCGAGGTCAGCAACTGTACGTATCTCTTTAACTGTATCTGAGGCCACCATTGACAAGATTTTAATAGTCTGCACCGACCAACGCGGCTTCAACACCTGGCTCAAGCACCAAGCCTCGAAATTCCTCAAACCCGGCGACCCCCGCCTCCTCCTCAACACCATCGTAACAAACATAACCTACTCTGACACTGGCGTCCACATCCTCACTTCAGACGGCTCCTGCATCGAGGCTGACTACGCCATCTCCACCGTCTCCCTCGGCGTCCTCCAAAACGACGCCATAACCTTCTCGCCCACCCTCCCCGACTGGAAGCAATCCGCCATCGCCACCTTCTCCTTCGGAACCTACACAAAGCTCTTCTTCCAATTCAACGAAACCTTTTGGCCAACCGACAAGCAATTCTTCCTCTACGCTGACCCCACTACACGCGGATACTACACCGTTTGGCAGAGTCTATCCACAGAAGGGTATTTACCCGGTTCCAACATCCTCTTCGCCACGCTTGTAGACGAACAGTCATATCGTGTGGAAGCGCAAGACGATGAAACTACGAAAGCAGAGGGTATGGCCGTTCTCCGTAAAATGTTTCCCAACATCACGGTTCCTGAACCTATTGCGTTTACCTACCCGCGCTGGTCCCAAACACCGTGGTCCTACGGTTCTTACTCCAACTGGCCTGCTGGAACGACACTTGAAATGCACCAGAACCTTCGCGCGAATGTGGGCAGGTTGTATTTTGCGGGCGAGGCGATGAGTGCGGAGTACTTTGGTTTCCTGCACGGTGCTTGGTTCGAAGGGCAGGAGGTTGGTGAGCGCATTGCGGGTCGGATTACGACGGAGTGTATTAATAGGGAAAGTGGGTGTGGGGATTATAATCGGTATGAGGTGTTGCGTGGGACGACGGAGTTGTGGGAGGTTAATGCGTTTAATGGGATGGGGACGAGTCCGTTTTTTGTGGCGGATACTGGGGAGGCGGAGTAGGAGGATGGGGGTCGTGGGTACGTCTGGATGTCGATGTAGAGAGTGGAGAAACCCTGTAACTCAGGAAGATGATATTTTTACGGCATCCTTCTCTTGCTCTTCCGGCATTGGTTGATTTCCACTCCCCTCCTTCATCTCAATATCCACCCAAACAGGCACATGATCACTCGTCCCCATCTCCTCCTCACTATCCATGATGCCAGCCGCCCGAACCCACCCCTTCTCCCATATCCTCCTCCCCGCAACAAAGAAATCCACCCTATCACAGCTACTCCCCCACTTCCTCCCTCTCGAATGATACGTATACCTCCTCTCATGCGGATATAATTCCCTCCAAACATCAACACCATCAAACGGCTCCTTCGCCTTCCCACCCCCTCCCAGCAGCTTATCGTGGAAATCCGCGCGGTTAACAACATGTGCCTGTGGGAAGATGCGTAGTTTGGGATATCCATCGCGCTCGTCAGGCGCGACGTTCATGTCGCCTGCGAGTAATACATCCCAGCCTTGCTCCTCCAACTCTCTACACTCCCTCGCCAACAGCTTATAAAACGCGCGTTTCCGATCATGTCTCGTACCTTTGAATGCACCGGTCTGCGGATCGCGATACGCGTTTTCTGTTCCATTGACGGCGTAGATGTTGAAGATGGCGAGTTTGGCGGTGCTGGTCTTCGAGCGCAGTTCTACGACGGAAACGCGGCCTTCGGCGTCCCAGTCTACGGTGCGGAGGGCGATTTTGTAGGGGATGTAGAGGTCGCGCCGGATTAGGCTGCATACGCCGTAGATTTTGCCGCTGCGTTTGGGGCCGCGGGCGTTGTGGAGGTCGGTGGGGAGGGTGAAGTGGACGTGGTATAGTGGGCGCTTATTGTGGGGAGTTCCTTCTTCTTCTGGTAAGGGTGATTTTACTGCTTTTTTGACTGCGTCTTGGGTCTTTTCGTCTGTGTGGGCTATCTTGACTTCTTGGAGAAAGAGAATGGATGGCCATTGGTGTCTGTGCAGGAAAGTTCGTAGAGAGGCTGCTGGTCGGGCGTTCTTTGCATCGTCCCTGAGTGCCGTTTTGGATTTGGGAATGAAGAGTTCCGTGATTGGCTTTTGTAGGAACGGAGCAATGCCATCGATGTTCCATGAGAAGATGCGTAATGTGTTTGGGTCGATAGGTGGAAGTGGCGTTGGAGATGCGGGCGTGCTTGGAGGCGCCGTTTGCCCGGGAGACGCCGCTGTGTTTGTCGCGACCTTGCGTCGTTTCGAGGGAGGTGGGCTGATATCTCGATTCATGGTGCTGTAGTGGCGGCATGCCGTTACTCTTTGTAATACATGTGACACATGCAGTTGTAAGATGCGCGCACGACCAAGTGACGTCATCATCACTTTCCGCACCGAAGCAATACCCTAGACTGGTCGCAAACCCAGCCACCAAGATCCTCGTAACTTTGGTATATGTCGTATTGCTGTTTGCAGTATACAATCGCGCATGCACGTGGGCGGGGCGCGACGCGTCTTCCCACTAGAATTGATTGGGCAGTGATCAGCCACATCATTCACTACCCCACCACTACCAACACTTGACAACCGCGCTACAAACCTCAGCCACAGCCACCTAGAATCCTTCTTCCAACACCACAATCGCATACCTACTCCGTTCTTCTATCTAACTTCAACATGTCCTACCGCCGCAAGAAGTCCCTCCTCATCGGCATCAACTATGTCGGCAGCAGCCACGAACTCAAGGGCTGTCACTCAGACGTAGACAACATGGCCGAATTCCTCTCCTACCGCGGCTACACAAACTCACACAAAGACCGAGTCATCCTCACCGACCGACCAGAAGTACCCTACGACTCACCCTACTACCCCACCGGCCACAACCTACTCGCAGCCATGGACTGGCTCGTCTCAGAACCCGGATGCACCTTGTTCCTGCACTACTCCGGACATGGCGGCCAGATTGCAGATGTAGACGGAAACAGGACCACGGGAATGGATGCATCAATCGTTCCTGTGGATTTCGAACAGCGCGGCCAGATTTCCAGTACCATTCTACATGAACATCTTGTTACGTATATGGCGCGGGATTGCACGCTGTTTGTCATCATGGATTGTTGTCATTCTGGTAGCGCGCTCGAGCTACCGTTCGTTTACCGCTCTGATAGCGATGGCCAGATCAGTTTGATGGATAACTTGAAAGCGGGACTTACGCTTGCTAATGAGGCGCGCGATATCATTTCTGGCGGCTTCTCGTATAGCAAGGTTGGGGAGGCGAGGGAGTTGCTTGCGGGTGCGAGTACGTTCTTCAAGGGACTGAAGCATTTTGGAGAGGAGCAGGAGGAGGAGGGGTTGGAAAGTGGAGAGTTTGCGGGGCAGTATGGGAGTGAGCAGAAGATGGTGACGATGTTTAGTGGGTGTAGGGATGATCAGACGAGTGCGGATGCGCGCATTGAAGGGGAGGCGACAGGTGCTATGACGTGGGCGTTCTTGGAGATGATGAAGCAGGATCAGACTCCGACTTATGCTGAGGTGAGTGCTTGACACATGTTTGGCGGGCTTGAGCGTTGTTGTACTGACCGGAAAACAGACACTTAAGTTCATCCGGAAGACTCTGGATGAGAGTAACTACAAGCAGATTCCACAGCTGAGTTCTGGGTTGGATATTGATTTGGATGATATGCATCTGGTACTCTGATCCAGCGATGTAGTTCTCAGAGCTTTTGTCCAACTCGAAAGACATGTATAGAGGCAATTCCTAAGAACTAGGCACACAGCTTTTGACTCATTTGCTCTCGACTGGCATCGTGAATTTGTCTGACCTTTGTGGCAAACTTAACAATCGACGCAGCTTGAAACATGCCCGCACCGACCCGTCTCTGAAAACAAAAAGTCGGTTTGTCTAACCTCTAAGACCGCACCCGCAAGTCATGTCTCAAAGCAACAAACCATTCTCCCCTCCAACACTCCTCAATCTTATAAACACTCCTCAACTCAGCATCCTCCTCCCCAACGCCCCAACATCACCCCTACTACACCTCCAAGATGACACCACCAATCGATCCCCTCCGCGCACGCATCTTCTCCGAACTAAACCTCCAACTAACACACCCCTCGATCCCCAAACCCCTGCTGAACGAATGCTCAAAACACCTCGCTTTCCTCGTGCGGTACTACGCCAACGATCCTGACTGTAATCCGCTAAGGGTAAGTGTGCCGATCGTTGAGGTGCCTGTATGTGTACCGAGGGTGGGTATGGGAGAGGAGGACGAGGAAGAGGATGATGAGGAGGGAGAGGATGAGGGGGGTGTGGAAGTAGAGATAGGCTTGAAAATCGCATTGGTAGTTTTCGAGGAGAAAAGGAGGAAAAGCTCTGTACAGACAAGGATGGAGGGATTGCGAAAGATGAAGATGGAGAGGTTGTACGGTGTGGGTAAGATGCTGGGGGAGGAAGAAACTGAAGACGACGTCACGTCAACGCCCACGATGAAGACGAAGAACAGTATCGAGACTGGTGGTCCTGTTAGTAAGATCGCCGGGGTGAGACATTGTCCTCCTGCGTCGGCGTCTGGTATCGGTACTTCTGTTTCGTCCACGGCTGCGAAGCCAAGGATGCGTGTGCTGATTGAGACGACTGGTACGCTGGGACATTACAAGTGTCTGGTTGCTAAGCTTTGTGGCATGGCCGAGCGTGTCGTAGCCGGACTGTTGGAAGGTGATGAAGGCATAGTGCGTGCGTGCGAAGAGGTCAAGGGGAGTAAAGGCAAGAAGGCGGGTGCAGATGTGGGGAAGAGACCGGTGTGGAATGTCGAGGTTTGCGGGGAGTGGTGTTGAGCTGTCCAAGATATGTCGACATGAGGCCCAGGATGTGAAATCGATCGTTGCTTTGGTATTCATATTTCATTCTAACACGTAAGACATACAATGATAGAGAGACAACAGCACCCATTGCATCAGAATAACATACTTCAGTAAAATCCAAAAAGGTATCCCTAGCTTGAGCTAACTCACGCAAGCTGATTTCCCATCACACCAAAACACCGACCCCGCTACCCGTCGTCAAGAAGTGACCCAGAAAATAGTGCGATGAAAGTACAAACGCCTCGCAAATGCAGCAAAGAACCGCCGTTTGGGTGCTTAGTCCTTAGCGACCTCTGTGCGGACCTCGCCCTTGACGTTTTCGGAGTCGCGTTCTGCGTCGCCCTCTTCTTTGGCTGCGGCGATCTCTTCTTTGTTGTCATTCTCCTCCATCTCGACGTCTGCTGTGGGGGCTGAAGTTGGTGCCATGGTTGTTGTTGCTGCCGCGGCTGGTGGGGATTCGGGTGGGGTTACAACACCAGCGGGCGATTGTGATCGCGTTGAGCCAGCGGCTGGTGCAGTCGCAGCAGGCGCCGCGTCCATGTCGATGTCGCCATCTTCGTCGGCTTCTTGCTCGCCAGCGGCGGGGGTTGTTGTGCGCGACTTGGCGACTGCAGATGTTTGCCGTGTGGATACGGCGCTTTCACCGTTAGTCTCCATGCGGTCCAAGTCATCCTCTGGCGCAGCATTGGGGTTTGGGAAGTCGGTGATATGTCGCCTCTTCTTAGTGCCAGGCTGTTCGCGCACGCCGAGGCTGTTTTTATAATCCTCATCATCGCTCGCGTCGTAGAGCTCGCCGTCGTGCTCTATTTGCTGGTCGCGCTGGCGCTGTGTCATGCGCACATCCTTGTTCTCGTCGGCATCGAGATCATCGTCTTCATCTTCAGCGTCTGAATCCGTTGCGCGAGTCAGACCCGCGGGCACATCCGGAATGTTGGTGAAGGCTTCGACTGATGGCTTTCCGGTTCTCCGAATATTGTCGATGACGGCGGATTTGATCTTGTGCAGGTAGTCGTGAGAGTTGGCGTTCTCCATGTTAGAAGGACGGACGTCCAGTTCGTAGTCGGGAGCGAAGTATTCGTAGTAGTCGTTGAAAGGCAGCTGCTTGGACATTTTGGTCGAGACGAGCTCTCCCGTCTCGTAGGCCCAAGTTCGCGCCACATTTCTCATAGTGTAACCACCTCCTCCCAGCACGATGACTGGTACGCCAAAGCTCTTGACGTACTTGACGCAATTGGCGTGGCCGTCCATGCTCAGGTTAAAGCAACCAAGCCTGTCTCCGGAAAGACTGTCACCACCGCATTGTAGGACAATAGCCTCTGGGCCGTAGTATGTCATGACCGCCTGGATGACGGGCTCGAAGATGTTGCGATAGGTCTCGTCGGTGATGCCGTCGCGAAGAGGAAAGTTGACTGAGTAGTTCTTGCCGCTGCCAACACCGATGTCGCGCAGTTCACCGGTACCGGGGAAGTACTCGCCGTACTTGTGGAATGAGACGGTCATGACGCGATCGGTCGTGTAGAAAGCTTCCTCGACACCATCTCCGTGGTGGACGTCGATGTCGATGTACAGCACGCGCTGCTTGTATCGGAGTAGCTCGATGATTCCCAAGACAATGTCGTTGACATAACAGAAACCACTGGCTTCGCTCTTCTTCGCGTGATGCAGTCCTCCCGCCCAGTTTACTGCGACATCGCATTTTCCTCGGTTCAAGCGCGCAGCGCCCTCCATGGTGCCGCCAGCGCTGATACCGCAGAACTCAAATAGACCGTCAAAGACTGGACAATCGTCTCCGACGTTGTATTTGCTCTGCTCACGTGTAAAGCTCTCCATGTTATCGGGCGTTACTTTGTGAAGGAACTCGATGTATTCGTCGGTGTGGAACTGCGTCATCTCGTATTTGGACGCGGGCTTAGCGCGCTGCCGGTGAGTTAGCACAAAATCCTGGAGAATTGACGTTGGATCCACCTACGTAAATCTCCATTTTGGTGTACAGTCCGTAGTTCATGATCAAGCTGTGCGCCATGCGTATGCGGTGGGGCTTCATGGGATGTCCTGCAACATAGGCGTAGTTGCCGACGTCGGAGTCGTAGAAGTATGCGACCTTCTTTGGCTGCGAGGCGACGCCATTGCTCAAAGACGAGGAGCCCGTCGTGGGTTCCATAGCGGTGGTCATATCTTTGGTGGCTGCGCACAGCTATGCGACTGGGAGGATGTGTGATGATATTATCGTGATAAATGTGATAAAGTTGGACTGGAGGTTGCGGGCGACGGTGACTACAGCATGCAGAGTGTTCGAGTATCAGCAATCAAGGAAGGGTGGAGGGGCGTGGCAGAGAGATGGCGGGAGCTTGAACAAAGACCCTCGCGCGCCATTACCATGAGAGCTGCGACAGGGTCCCCCTGTCTAGTGCCGGTTCCGGAACAACCGAATCGCCGCATGCAGTCGCGCAGTTACGTGAGAGAGCTCCGAGCATCAACAGCTTCATCATCGCCGCCGCCTTGCCCAACAACACTTCGTCCACCCCCGAGTACTCTCACCTCGTCGCCAGATACCTCGCCTGCAGTAATCAAAGAACCATCGCCAGTACCCCACCATGGACCGGTTAACTAGGATGCTCGCCGCCGCTCAAGGTGGCATGGGCGGTATGGGAGGGCCCCAGGGCGACACCAACCTGATCGATAACTCCGAAACCGTCTACATTTCCTCCCTGGCGCTCCTCAAGATGCTGCGGCACGGTCGCGCAGGTGTACCCATGGAAGTCATGGGCCTGATGCTGGGCGAGTTTGTGGATGACTACACAGTACGCGTGGTGGATGTCTTTGCCATGCCGCAGTCAGGAACGGGTGTGTCCGTCGAGGCCGTAGACCCCGTCTTCCAAACCAAGATGATGGACATGTTGAGGCAAACAGGAAGGTACGCAATCGCTGCCTGGGCGCTCGAAGCCGCCACCGCTCCCACCACACCCATCAGTCGCTGACAAACACAGGCAAGAGACCGTCGTCGGCTGGTACCACTCACATCCTGGTTTCGGCTGCTGGCTGTCCTCGGTCGATATCAACACACAGCAGTCGTTCGAGCAGCTCACACCCCGCGCCGTCGCCGTCGTCGTCGACCCCATCCAGTCGGTCAAGGGCAAAGTCGTCATCGATGCCTTCCGCCTCATCAACCCGCAAGCCCTCATGATGGGCCACGAGCCCCGCCAGACAACCTCCAACGTCGGTCACCTCAACAAGCCATCGATCCAGGCGCTTATCCACGGCCTCAACCGCCACTACTACTCCATCGGCATCAACTACCGCAAGACTGCGCTGGAGGAGAATATGCTGATGAACCTGCACAAGCACGTATGGACAGAGGCGCTGCTCATGGACGACTTCAAGGGCGAGGGCGAGCGGAATACCGACAGGCTGCAGAAGCTCGTCACCCTGGCAGACGGCTACGAGAAGCGAGTGAAGGAGGAGACAGAGTTGACCAAGGACCAACTAAAGACGCGATACGTCGGAAAGGTCGACCCCAAGAAGCGTACGTTGAAATCCATGTCTTGCTTAAGTGGTATACTAACAGAACATCTCAGACATCTCAGACGTCGGCCAGCAGCTCATCGAAGACAACATCGTCTCCGTCTCACGGCAGATGATCGACAAGGAAGCCTCGGTACCAAAGTCGAACTCGCGGCAAAACGGCCAGTCAAGCGGCGGCGACGATATGGAGATGGAGGAGTAGGATCACATACCCGTGGTCTGGCTTGGGGGAAGCATGTACACTGGCATGAGCTGCACAATATTGCACTCAAAAGAGGCATATACGATACAGTAATGCATAGACTATGTATGAGAACAACGACATTACACAAACATGATTCCACTCATGATGACGGTTGCTTTGCCGATTTGACAACAGCTACACGAATAGGTATAGTTCTTCTAGGCCTGAGTTTAGTAGTCCTGGATAACAACAGAGGCGAACTAGTCGCTCACTCGTTCGTTGCGGGTAGTCCTCCGACACAGCACTGAGACGTAGAAACTAGTAATACGCAGTGGCACAGAAACATTGACGCTCAAGTGACATCATATACACTTGGACAGGAGAATATGCTTGACGTTTTGATCTTCTCCAAATCGTTCAAACACGCACAAGTTGTACGTCATGTTTCTCGCTGAAGCGAAGCAAGCGGAGTTTTCTTGCGCGTCAGATGTCGTTCATCTATGATTTCAGCTTTCGATCACAATTGAAAACTGCGGACTAGATAGAAGTCTAGGTGCTGGGTTCCATCATCGGCGTTTCGGGGAAATAGTCGAATGATTCGATGATTCCTGTTTGTGGATGAGGCAAGTAGCGCAAATGAGGGGAAGAGTTCTGACGGTTAGGTAGATTGCCATGTCTTTACACCCGCAGAGCCGTGATACGGATTCCAAACCTCTGTCCACCATCCATCACAACACCTATTATAGCTCTGCTTTGAATTCAAACGTATGTCATTTTGATACCTTCTATTTTTTTCGTAGCCAAAAGCAGAAACAAGACACCAACCCACGCTGATCCGTATCCCATTAACCCGTAAAATTCATTTCTCGTACGCCCCTTCTTCGAAGAACCGCGACACGACAATGCGTCGTCGGTATTCGTCGCAACAAAAACCCTTGGGGGTTACTTTCGTCTTTCTGCTCATCCATCCATCCACCGTAGCGATCTTTGGTATATAAAACAACAAAATTTGCCGCCCACTTGAGCCCGCCATTCATCAGCCCTAGGTCTCGTCGCCCGTAACACGTGTTTTGTGAGAAATGGTAGTGTCGATCCCAGTATTACATCATTTTGTTTGTTTCAAGCAACTCCGGTAAGGAAAGGTGAAGGGTAGATTGGTTCCATGGAATAACACAGCGAAATGGGTTTGGGGGTTGCAAAAAGTTCGGGTCCATTACTTTGAAAGTCTTGAGAGGAGGTAAGGTAAGGTGGCTAGTCCAGATCCCATGGGGGTAATAGCACAACATCTGCACTCCTGAAAGAGTGCGTTTCTAATGACCGTTTTCCAGCCATTTAAGTGTGCATCCGGGGTGGTTTCCTTTATTCCTGTCCTGTTCCTATCATGGTGATTTTGAAGCTTGCTGTCTATCCAGCGAGCTCCACTCAGAAGTACGATGACCTGCCAGACTAAGGATGGCCATGCGGTTTCCCTGACGTGTCTTCTGTATTCGATCCGTTCTGGCCAGTAGTAGAGCGAATCTTCTTTGCGTTCTCGTCGTCTGAACTTGAGTGGCTGCTGCTTCCGTCTTCGAAGCCAATGGTTCCATCCTTGGATTCGCGGCGTAGCCTATCAGCCTTGTCCTTGAGGTAGGCGGCCTGCTCGGCGGCCCTCTGGGCACGGATCTGCTTCTTCCACATGGCGGCGTAGTGTCCGTTGCGATCGAGCAGCTCCTCGTGAGTGCCTCGTTCCTGGACCTTGCCCTTGTGCAAGACGAGGATCTGGTCAGCGTGGGTGATGGTACTAAGACGATGAGCGATGATGAGCATAGTGCGGCCCTTGGCCAATGTCGTAAAAGCCTCCTGGATGTGCTGCTCTGTCTCCGTGTCAAGAGCGGCAGTGGCTTCGTCAAGCATGATGATACGCGGATTCTTCAGAATCGTGCGGGCGATGGCCACGCGCTGCTTCTCACCTCCAGAAAGTCGCAGGCCGCGGTCACCAACCTTGGTCTCATACTTGTCCGGAAATGTCATGATCTTGTCATGGATACTGGCAGCTCTGCATGCCTCGTGCACTTGTTCGTCGGTTGCCTCTGGGTTTGCATACTTGAGATTGTACATGAGTGTCTCATTGAAGAGCACAGTGTCTTGGGGTACGACACCAATGTGGCTGCGCACCGAGTCGATGGTGAGATCTTCCACATCGTGACCATCGACCTGGATGCTACCAGACATGGTGTTGTAGAATCGGTAGAGCAGACGGAAGACGGTCGATTTACCTCCACCGGATTCACCGACAAACGCAGTGGTCGTGCCTGGCTCGCAGTAAAAGTCGAGACCGGTGAGCGCTGGCTTGCGCTGGTCATAGGCAAAGTGTACATCCTGGAAGCGAAGATTACCCTCACAAGAAGCAAGAGGTTTGGCATCCTCCTTGTCGACTACGGTGGGTTGCTCTTTGAACAGCTCAAGCATTCGCTCCGAGTTGATCATGGCAGACTGGATCATCCTGTAAAAGGTGCCGAAGAAGTTGAGAGGACTTTGCAGTTGGCTCATATACGTGAGAAGCGTCACAAATTTGCCGACGTCGAGGACTCCAACTGCGATCTGGTATGCTGCGATGAAGCACGTAACGAGGAGTCCAATCATAAAGACCATGTTCTGTGTGATGTTCATGATGTTCAGCGATATCATGACCTTGTACTCAGCGTTCTGATACTTCTTAACAGCTTCACGGTAGCGGTTGAACTCGTACGCTTCGGCGTTGAAATACTTGACCGTCTCGTATGACACCATGGAGTCGTTCTTGACTGCATCTTCTTCTCTGTCGGCGTTGACCATTTCGCGGCGAATCTCAGCGCGCCACTGCGCCATGCGGATAGTCAGATAGATGTACCAAAATGTAACGATGGCGATGACGAGCGCGTAGTAAGCATCGAACCTGATGAGGAAATAGGCGATGGCTACGCCTAGATCGATGAGCATGGGAACAACCGAAAAGGTCACCTGCTCGAGGAACGTGTTGATGGAGCTGCCCTTTCCTAGAGCGGACAGGACCTCTCCCGTCTTCTTGCCGAGGTGGAAGTCGAGGCTAAGGCTGTGCACGTGCTCGAATGCCGCAACGGACAGCTCGCGATACGAGTATTGGGAAACGGGGATCCACAGGGCAGATCGCGCCGCACCCAGCAATCCGTTGCTGCCCTGCAGAAAACGGAAGCCGATGTACAACATAATGGCGGTCCACGGATTTCCGCGCTCGCGGTCGTTGAGGCGCTTCACGATTTCACCCGTGAGGTCCGGGACCAAAACGTTAACGACGCGTTGGCCTAGGACGAGCATGAAACATGCGATGACGACCAGCTGCAGCTTGCGATCTTTCGAAGGCCAGAGGTAGGGGAAAAAGACGTGGTAGCCTTTGATGTATTCCCACCAGCTGCGCGCGGGTGCGCCAGTGGGCCTGCTCCAGGCGGGCGGTGCACCCTCGGTGTGCTGGTGTTTGCCACCGGTCGGGTGTACTGAGCCATATGAGCCGTTCGCGTGACCGTTTTCCGCATGACCGTTTTGTTCGGCGCTACCGAGCAAAGAGGTATTTTCGGATGGACTGCCCGATTCTTGGCGAGACCTGCGCTGTGGGACTATGACGAATAGTACGTAGAAGGCGATGAGGGCGAGGAGCAACACGATGCGGAGCAGGTCCATGGCCACCTCTGCGGCTTCCCACTCGGTCATTCCAAATCGCAATCGCTTGGCGGGAGTGCCTACGGTGGGCTCCTTGTGCGGATGCGTGTAGATGGAGAAGGAAAGGGCTACCAGTACTATTTCTAGCACGGTTGCCAGACTCCATGTTGCCAGATGCGCCTCGGTCGGAGACGGCTTCGAGTCGAGGAGGGAGATGACGAAGAGACAGTAGACGAAGAAGGCGCCAACGAGGTAGATCTGAGGAAGTTAGCCATGGATGGAATCTGAAGTTTGTTGCTGTTACATACCACTGCGGCTTTGCCCACCCACCAGTGCTGCTCCGCCTCGGCCAGGGCATGCGCAACGACGACGACGGAATTGCCGACAAAGGTGAATGCCGTAGCCAGCGACACCCATTCGAAGACGCGCTTCTGGGTCTGGGTGACATCATCGTGGACGAGCTTCTTGACGAAGTTGCGGGTGGGATCGGTGGCCGGGAGCGGCTTTCCTCCAGGGCCGGTTGTGGTAGGTTTGGCGATATTAGTATTAGATTTAGAGGCGGCAATGCTGCGGACGGTGAAGGCAGCGAGAAAGAAGACGAGCATAACGATGGGGTAGGCATATTGCAGCACGGCGATGGTGGTGCGCACAGGGCCGGCGTAGGCCCATCGCTCGCGGTCGTGGTCGTCCATGTGGTGCGGCCCAGCCATGCTGTTGCTCTCTCTCCACGGATCTGTGAGGCCCGGCAGCGAGACTCACGGGTGGCAGAGACGGGCGGGGAGGAGATAGGAAAGGGAAGGAGGGAGTGTCGGTGGTGGAAGAGAAACGCGGTGACATGTTGCACCTGGGCACACTGAGACGGTGCCATGGGCGAGAGCTAGCTAGCACGAGTAGACTTGTGGCGCACATGCAGCAGGCATTAGCCCTGTCCGTGCGCGCCGATGATGGATTTCATCCAGACCTCGCTGTGACCCCGGCCTGCAGCAGCTCCCAGCACGGTACAGCTCCCAGGCACACGGGGCGAGTCGTGTCCTGCAGCCGCCTGCAGCTCGTCACACCAGAGTCGACTCGACCGGACGCGATTCTGCCATTACTGGACCTGCGATTTACGTCGATTTACTGGCACGACTGCACTTCATTCAATACCGTATTGCCCCGTCTCTGGCATGAGGCGAACTTGACGCTCAGATGACTGAAAACCGTCGCACGTCAGCCGTCTCGTCGCCCAAGATCCCCCCGGCGCCGCCATTGCCACTGCCCAAGCAAAAGTCACGCTCCTACTTTGAGCGTTTTGTTGCGCAGCCCTTGACCACGGCCTATGGATCCCGCCCACCCAGCGTGCATCAACATGGCTACGAGGGCGGTCCTCCGAACCCTCTAGTGCCGAAACTTGCCGGGTACGTTTTTTTCGTACATGCTCGATACTCCGTCGCCGTATACGGCAACTTGAATACTGTCTCTCCTATTGGCTGTGTCTTCCACCATTTCCATCCACACTCCCACATTTCCTCCACACTTCCCCTCTGCATCTGTTGTTGACGTTTGCGTGGCTCTTTCCCTGATGCCGCGCTCCTTCCCTGCTGCCTCACTCACCTGTCTCCCTCCTTCCCTGCCACTCACCTGTCTTACCCTGCCTCGCTCCTTCCCTGTCACTCACATCCGTCACTCACTTCCGCCACTCACCTCCTGCCATGTATCTTGACATACCTCCAACGTGCCTTCCCCGTCTCTGCACTCACTTTCAACCACTCTGACCCTCCTGCACCTGCACCTGCACTCACTCTCAACCACTGCACGCACTCACATCCGTCAGCATCCGCACGGGCTACTCCCAAGATGCAAGCCATAAGACAGGCCTCGACATCTCTGCCCTCGACATCAACCGTGAACGCACCCATGCCGTCCTCGCTGGCAAGGAGATCCTGAAAACTGTCCGCGTCCAGGATGCCAAGATCGTCGACGAGACCAACCTGCGGGCTGCAGTCCTTAATTATGCCGATTCTCATGCCCGACAGCGCGAGGGCTTGGGCATACACGACGTAAAGTGGTCCCATGGCCAGTTCAGCTCCCACATCGCCACTGCCGCTGCAAATGGCAAAGTCATACTGTACGACCTGAACCGCGCAAGCGTCGAGCTCACCAGGCTGCACGAGCATACGCGTCAGGTACACAAACTGGCCTTCAACCCCCACCAGGGCCATCTGCTGCTGTCTGCTAGCCATGACAACACGGTCCGTCTGTGGGACTTGCGCGACATGCGTAGGGATGTTACTGTCTGCCGCAGTCGAGATCATTACGCTGGCATGAATGGCGGTATCCGTGACGTCCAGTGGTCGCCTACCGATGCCGTAGAGTTTGCTTTCGGCACGGACAACGGAACCATACAGCGATGGGATTTCCGCTATAACAAGGGGCCCAAGCAGAAGATTACAGCTCACGACCAGCGCATCTGCACCTCCATCGACTGGCACCCAGACGGTAAGCACCTGCTCAGTGCTGGCGTGGATCGAACCGTCAAGGTCTGGGACTTCTCCGTCACTGGACGCCGCCAGAAAGCTGCGTACGTCTTACACACACCGTTTCCGGTATACCAAGCTCGATGGAGGCCGCCATACTGGTCTGACGAGTACCACGAAAAGGGTGCCTACCAATGCACACAGCTGGCCACGTCTTACGACAAAGAACACTCTGTCATCCATGTATGGGATTTCCGTCGTCCGTTCCTGCCATTTCGGGAGATCAACAAGTTTCCCAGCGCACCTTCCGACATGCTCTGGCACTCGCGTGACACGTTGTGGACTGTGGGTAGAGAAGGCGTTTTCCAGCAGAACGATGTCCATCATGCTCCCAAAACCGTGGATCGACGCAATCTGCAGGCTTTCGGGGTATCGCCAAGTGGAGAGGTTGCTGCTGTTGCCCAAAAAAGACCCCGGCAGCCATCTTCAACAGGCCTAGCTTATACTGACGATACGTACCTTGGTGACCCGCGTGCCAGACGACATAGCCCCGAGAAGGGCAGTCTCAGAAGTTCAGCAGATGACAGTCTAGATGATAGTTTTCTAACATCGTCAATGAAGCGACATCATGGTCGCACTGCTAGCAACAGGTCCACCAAATCGTTTAGCAGTACCCCGCCATCTGACATTGCCCCCAAAGTCATGTTCCTCAGTGACTCCATGGTCGCACATAGCGAGTCATTCAGGCCGAACCAGGTCGCCATACGAGGCATACTGCCAGGTGCGGCCAATCCTCAGATCTTCGAGTATCTTGCACAGAAATACAAGACCATACCTCTTTCGGACCCACCCGACTTGGACTCTTTTCTTCGACTAGAGAGGGCGTTTGAGCAAAACGCCGAATACGCGCAGCGCGCAGCCTTCTATAGGCTTGCGCAAACATGGAGGGTCGTTGGTGCGTCCATTACCATGGCGACACGACGCCGAGCAGAGTTACACAGACAACAAAGAAGGTTGCGACCGCAGAACACCGCGCTACCGTCCGGACAGACACACCAAGCAACATCCGCGCACATGGAGGCACATGACAAGCGCATGGCGATCCCTCCAAATCCTGCAGTGCGTGCCATCTTGAGCACGCTAGAGAAGCCAACATCACCATCCCGATCGCCCAGCGTGCGAGAGAGCACTTCTAATATTGCGACCCCTCTTGCTCGTCCAGTCATCACCCAAACCGTCGATAATGCTGAAAGGCCAGGCCTGCTCGATATTGATCAGGCGGACATTGATCAGCTTCCACCCGCTGTTACTGGACCGCCTGTCGATGCAAGTAGGACGCTCGCGCCGCCAAGGACGTTCAGTGGACCACAATGGTATCACTCGGGAGACGACATCGATGAACGACGTGCCTTGGTCGGCAGCTATCGTGCATCCCCACGGATCCCACTGAGCCTCGCACCGAGCGGCACACAAGCCGGACGCACCATCGAGCCTCATCCACTGGAGCGACACGACTCTGGTGAAAGCTTTACAATGTTCTCTGCGTCATCGGACTCTCAAAAGGGTAATTCTGTGCCGAGCTCGTTCGCGAGTACCAACTCACAACTAGGCCCTGGGCATTCTCTATCGGAAGATTGGCAGTCTGTCCAGGAACAATCTAGCTTTGGGAAACCGAGAAACGCTGGAGATCAAGAGCTGAGCAAAAGCATCTCGATATCTCCAACGACCATGCCCGTCGGCAAGAGCTTTCCTCGTGCAGACCAAGGGTACACACAGAAAGTGGCCCGCAGTGCTTCGAACAATGCGGATGAATTTGGCAGTGGAGAGAAAGCTGTTCGGGATATGGAACATTTACGGCGGAACAACCAATTACTCCGTCATGATAGCTCTGATTCTGAAGCGCTCACAAGCATCTCGTCGTCATCCTACGAATTCAGCACTGAGATGGAAGCCAGTGGGACTATTGTACCCGACGTGTTTGAGGATGTGAGGTCGCCTCATGTTCTCAAGCCACCAGCGTCCCTGCCACATGCCTCCGGAAGTGCGCCTCCTGTACTTGATCCAACAGTAGAAGAAGGATTGTTGCTGTCAGACTTTGAAGCTGTGCATATCGACGCCGAGGCCGGCTGTCCCTACTCCGTCATTGGGCTGCTGAATCATCTCCTAGAGTACCACACCGAAGCGTCGGATGCACAGTTTGCCTCAGTCCTCATTCTGCTTTTAGCCCCGCTGTTGCCACAGACTCATGGCCCTTCTGATACTCCAGATGTGCACATAGGCGATGTATTGAACGTCTTCAGCGACACGTTTGTAGCACTAGGACTGACTCAAGCGCAAGCAAAAGCAATACTATCGACACAGCTAAGCCAGCTGATAGCTACCGGTATCAATCCCTACCAAGCGGAGTCTATTCTTTCCGCCTATCATTTCCGGCTACATTCCTTGTCATTGTTTAACTCCGCGGCCTCGCTCCGCCGCCTAGCGTACCCGACATATCCTGCTGTCTACGAGCAAGCGCTGAAAGAAACGCAGGTTGGGCTTTTGTGCCTAAGCTGCAAGTCACCAATCAACAACCCTAGAGATAAGATGCGATGCGAGTCCTGCAAGCGAACGCAGGCACCCTGTCCGATTTGCTGGGGCAAATACCCGGCTTTCGAATCGATCACCGCGAAGAAGAAATCCAAAGCGAAGTCGCGGCCATCATTCAAGGACAGAGGACACAGAAGGCAGCGATCGTCTCTCACGTCGAATCCTGACCATGTCGGCGATCAAGTCGCAGACGGTCCATCACCGACTGTTCCAGCCAAATGGTCGTCACCTGCAGCCACGCTCTGGACATGGTGTCCATTATGTGGTCACGGAGGACATTCAAACTGTCTGTCAACCTGGTTTGCCGATCCGACACTATCAGACGGCGCATGTCCGACCGAAGGCTGTCTCTGCGACTGTGTCCAAGGCAAACGCCGCGACACAAAGATCGAAGAGATGCTCCTCAAGAAAGCAGAGAAGGACCGATCGAAGGTTGTTCGAAAAGGCGATGATTGGAAGGTAAAGGAAAGCCGCGCGGTGTCGGCAGTCCGGAACGCTGCCCTCGACACGATACCAGATCAACAATCACAGCCAAATTCTAGACAGTGTAGTTCGGCTGACCTCTAGACTTTAGTCGGCTAACCTTTGATTAGACAGAATTAGACACTAGTAAGCTAACCTTAGAAATTCTAAGGTTAGCTAGCTTTTAGGTTTTGCACCTCTATTACCCTACTAACACTCTACACACTGTATTTAACTTAGTTTTATCTTAGTGTACCTAGCTTTACTACGTAGCTCTACATCGCATCGCAATAAGTATGCTTACATAGCTATTCTTATTATTAAGCTAATATTATGTAAGACAACAGCCTACTACTATTAGCCTAGCCTGTTACTGCGACTAGAAGTTAACCTAGTTGTAACCTAACGTCGCAATAGCGTCTAGAAGGTAAAGCTATAGTTCTAATTACACTTAGACTACCTGTAGTAGCTGCGCAGCCTCTATTTATAGAGTTAGATAGAACTAGGTTACTACCTAGTAGACTAACTAGCTATTAGTTCTAACTAGGTTCTAACTAGATTCTAACTTAGTTCTAACTTAGTTCTAACTTAGTTCTAACTTAGTTCTAACCTAGTTCTAACCTACTACAACTACTACTCTCTGTCTATACTTAGCATACATATATACACAGCGTTAATACTTCTATATTAGAGTATATACTAGGTTTATACCTAGCGCAATTATATCTAGCTCTACCTACGTTTTAAGAAGTAGTACCTCTACATCTAGCAGCCTACTATCTTATGCCTCTACCTCTACTACTCTTGTTAGCGTTTAATTTATCTTAGTTATAATTTAGCTTCTTTACTTAGTTGCCTAAACTCTACGTATTCTTGTTACTATAGTAGCGAGACTTATTCTAGTTAAGCTAGAGCTAGTCTATACTACGTAACTATAGATTAGGTGTCGTGTTCTATAGTCTATCTATAATAACACTAGCTTTAACTAAGTAATCTACCTTAGTTATATCTACATTAAATAAGCGTGTTTGTATAAATAGTACACTATCTTATTTAGGTGTAGAGTTATTAAGTTAAGCTATATTAGAATTTAACTTAATTTAAATCTATCTAGAGAAACTTATTTTTAAAAATAAGACAGACTCTAACTTTAAGTAAGTGTCTAACAGCGTATTAATGCTAGAGCTACTAATACCTATATAGAACGTAATTAATTATTCTAAAGAAGAAGAGCTAGTAAGTAGCTAATAAGGCGGATGCTTCTAGGTTTAGTCTAACAAGACTAGGTACTAGAACTAGATTCTTTACTCTTATTAGATAAGTCTAACACTTCTTTTAATAGTAATAATTCTAAAGACGCTATAGTATATTAACTCTAGATATAACTTAGCTAGGTCTTATATATTAGTAGTATGCGTCTAGTTCTAAGACTGTTATATAGATGTCTAGGCAAAAATAACCTAATTCTTAGATAAAACCTATTACCGTAACTTATGTATTTAGAACAGTAGTAGTGCTAATATTTTCTAGAACATCTAAGAATAGAACAGCGTACATTATTAACATTCTAGGTATTAAAACTTACTAAGACGCGCTTGCACTTACTAAAGTATAGATACTATTTTAGTTTTTTCTATATACGCTAACTATAACGTAGAATATATAGTATTATACTTTCTTATAATAGAAAACTAATTATACTATCTATAAGAACACTTAGAAGAATCTTACCTAATGTATATTACTCTATAATGTAGAGTGCTATTGCTACGTCTATAACTACACTAGTGTTAAAGTGTACGCAGCGTTAAGCCTAGTAGTATAAGATCTATCTTACTCTTATTATAATTGCAATATTAGAAACGTCTTGCGCTAGATTAGACTTAAAAACAATATTTCTATACTTTAAGATACAGCATATAAGTAAGTAGATAGTCTTAGAATCTATCTTAGTGTTGTCTAATAGTGTTAGGTATTATCTAGATTATATTAAGGCCTACTAAAGAGGTAAAGTTTACAGTTGTAACTACAACGCTGCTACCTACTATTCTATAATACTATAAGAGGACAATTTGCATGTACGTGTAATAAGTCTTAGTTACTACCTATTACATCTCTTACCTCTACACTTAATAGATCTTACTAAGTCTATACTAATAACTATAGATACTAAATTCTAATCTAGCCTAGTATATAGTCTATATTAACTAGCGCATACCTAGTGTACGCTACAGAGAGCACTAAATTAGTAAGATTAATCTATGTTACTACCTAGAAATCGCGTTTCTACGTAATTAGTTTAGTAAGAATTAGTAGGCTGCACTTCTAGCTAAGTGTACAATAGTTTAGTAAAATAGTAGTAATAAAAAGCAATGCTATATATATATTACAAACTATACTAAGATAAATCTAACTATATCTAGTAGTTAACTACCTCTAAAGAGCCTAGAAACTCTATCTATTCTCTAAGAGGTACCTATTGTATAGACTCTATACACACTATTTCTACGTATTTATCTTAGTAGAAACTAAGAGATATCTATATATAGCACTTGTGTTCTACAACATCTATAATTACCTACTACTTTTTCTATCTAAGCTTCTCTAGATAATAGCTTTTAAATTGTCTAAGATTATATAGTAAATTTGTAATCTAAAATTAAGTATAAGTACGTATGCATGTACTATATTAGAAATATACTAAGACTAATTCTATAAAGCAACCTTTCTATAGAATTCTTGCCTTATTAACTAGCTTATAAAGAATAGTAAAAAGTCTATTATTAACGTGTATGTGTTACTAGCAAACTACAATTAAATATAGGCTATTATACGCAAGAAGAGACTAACTATAATCTAGGCTAGTAAGTATATAGATAGTGTGCAGCTAAAGTATATAACTAACCTTTGTAAACGCAATTCTATAAGTATAAGATAGGTCTTAGTCTAATTCTAGCTAATATAACGTAGTATATTAAATATTTCTATTAGAATAGCTATAATCTTCTTGTAGTCTACTTTTTCTAGTCTTAACTTACTTCTATTAAGAATAGCACGTACTACTAATTATTTATTAACATAAGCTTTAAGCAGGTACATTAAGCTTCTATATAAGAGGTTATATTTACTATCTATATATATAGTGCTAATAAGCGTTAGTTTCTCTATAATACAACTAAGTATACACTAATAATATACACTAGTCTATACGCTATGTCGCGCCTTTATAAATAATAAGACTACTAAGTCTTATAAGAAGATGTTTAAGTAGGTGTTTACTAAGATAGAAAGCACAGACTTTGTTATACATTAGTACTATAAAGATAGAACTAGATTTAAACTAGTGTATATAGACATGTGCACTAAACAGCTGCTAGGTTTATATCTCTAGTGCTAGATTATTCTTAGTGTACTTACATATATAGACTTTAGAAACTACCTTACTAGCAAGTATAATAATAGCTAAATATAGAGATACTATATTTTCTACGTAGTTATGTTCTGTTGCGTTTATCTAAAGAGAGGGATATAAGAGATAACTAGATTAGAGAATTAGACTTAGTTAAGTCTAAATAAATTTACGCTTAATCTTACTAAATATAAAACTAAGAATAAATATAGAGAGTTTGTTTGCGTAGTAAAAAGTATGTTAGAATATATCTTAGTTACTTCTTAATCTAACTATTATAGACTAGTACCTTAATACTCTACTCGCAAACTAGTTTAATAATAAGTATTTAGTGTACGCTGCTAGTATATACCTTACCTATTTAAGAATACTAGACTATATATAGAACTAGTGTTAGACCTGCACTAGCAACTATAGTAAGTAGAATAATTTTAGAATAAACTTATAGAGTAGAGTAGTAACGCTGTTAAAGGCAGTTCTAGAGTAGGTTATACTAGACTAGACTAAGACTGTACTCTACTAATTAGTCTTAGTAGTAAGAAGGTAGATCTTAATAATACCTATTAGTTTAACGTGTATAATAAATAGAGCGTTACTTCTACGTAGTCTAAGACTAGTATTAGCGATTACATAGCTATAAATATTACTAATTAAGGTACTATCTCTAATCTAACTTAGACTATACCTAGTTACTAATTATTATAGAGCGTATTAAGAAGAATAAGCGTAAGAATAGGCAACGCTATAGAGAGATAGAACTAAGTAACAACAAGACTAATAATAAGACTACGTCTTCTCTATTCTATAGTTAGAGTAAGAGGTCTTATACAACGTCTACTAGAGTAATCTAAATACTAACC